AGGCCGTCGAGCAGCGTGTTGTGCTGAAGCAAAATACGCGGCACGGCCGTCGTGAAAGAGCTCAGCGCGCAAAGGGCAGCAAGCGCAGTTGGGAGGAGGAGGCGGACCATGGTGGTGAATTGAGTTGTGAGTGTTGTGGCGACGACGACGACGAAGATCTTATTCCTACGTCGGCGGCTCATCCCAGTACGAAATCAGATGCAATCTAATCGCTCCCAGATGATGACTCGGAAAATCAGATGAGCCGGTGCGACAGTTTCGCACGTAGAATACCATCTCTTGTGTCAATTTCAAGCGCATCACGAGTGCTAGAAAGTTAGTTGGGTCCAGGGGCGAATCATACCCAGCTCTGGTCGAGTCGCTATGGGCATGGGGAGGCAAGGGGCTTGGTCTTTCTGCAAATAGAATACCTCTTCCTCAGTGCTGTGTTTGTCGCCCTGTGGTGGTACGACGAAACACATGTTACTAGTACTTTGCAGCGCCTCACATTGCACTTACGAGACGCCCGCCATCAGCTCGTTCGATCGTATAGAGCTGAGCCAAGGTCATTCGACAGCAGCGTGTACTACTTCAAGCGCCATCTCATAAGCGTACCCACTATTATCCGACGAGAGATTCCAGCGTCCAGCAATCGTTGCCCGATATTCTGATGGAGTGACCTTGTTGCTCCAGCTTGCACCCAACTGTGGCAAGTTCGCCTTTGTGCTTTCCTATCGTTTCTGGTAGTTGTGCACTAAGAACTGGCCATCTCCTCTTTGCATAAACCATTGGATCTCAGTGCCGCTCAGATCTTATCGCGGCGTGATCGGTGACGCTGTGCGATGCATTTGTCGGCCGTACTATTAGTAGTACACCTAAGCAGGCAGTGCCGTTGTCCAATACTGTATCGCCCACTTTCTCAAACGTTTGAGATTGGTATTGAGTCGCAATCACATAAAACCTCAAGTTCCTGGCTCTGTGCACGACGCGTTTAGCGCCATTTTCGTTCCAAGCTCGCGCGACGACAATTTAAACAATATCAATCTCCAGCTGTCCGTAATGGACAAGCGTCGTTATATGATTGAATGAGGTGGGGTCAAGAAGACGACTCTCGAGGAAGCTGGTGGAAGCTCAGCGGGAACGAAGAGGAGGCGGTCTGGAATAGAAAGGCGCTATATTACCTTAATCAAGTACACTCTGCGCAGACAGGCCACACTTTGATATGAGCGCGCCGACGCCGGGCCTTCGTTCAGGGATCGTCTTCTAGAAATCCGAGGTTATATTTGCCCAATATACAAGGATCTCCAAGGATGATGCATCCGATATTCTCTGCGGCAGCCTGTTGGCCGTAGGCACTGCCTCATGTCTTGCATAAGCGAATTCTGAAACGTAACCAACGCTTGGCGTACTCAGATATGATCTGATTTGGATTTCAAATAATAGCGTTGCGTCGGTCCGATGCACTGTACTAGTACGCCGCAGACCCAAGACCTTCGCCGTTTTCATATTTCAATTCTCCACCACCTGCAATGGTCCGTCTCTTCCTCACGACTGCGCTTGCTGTAGCGACCCTCACCGAGGCCATCAACCCGCTCCTCGTCAAGGAGAACACGATCCTCAAGAACCTCCAGAAATTTGAGCGCGAGAACCACCTCGAAGACACGGCCGCGCCGCTCCCCGACTCGTGGTTTGAGAAGCAGATCCTCGACCACACCCACGACAACTGCGGCACGCCGTCGTACTGGAAGCAGCGCTACCACGTCAACGACGCCTACTACAAGGGCGCCGGCTCGCCGGTCTTTTTGTACATTCACGGCGAAAACGTCGCGACGCCCGGCTACATCACGAGCCAAGGCATGTACATCGTTGCGGCCGCCAAGAAGTACGGCGCGCTCCTCGTTGCGCTCGAACACCGCTTCTACGGCAAGTCCCAGCCGACAGCGGACATGTCGACGGCCAACCTCGCCTACCACACGTCCGACCAGGCGCTCGCGGATCTCGCGACGTTTCAAGACTACTTTGCAGCGAACCGCAGCATTCGTGCGTCGTCGCCGTGGGTCGCCTTTGGCGGCAGCTACCCTGGTATGCTCGCGGGCTGGGTCAAGTACAAGTACCCGACGCGCTTTGCCGGCTCAATTGCGAGCTCGGCGCCAATCGACATCAAGGCCGACTACTTCGAGTACATGAATGTTGTCGCGAGCGGCCTCCAGACGGTCGGCGGTGACGCCTGCACGAGCACGCTCCAGGAAGGCCTCAAGCAGTTCCACGCGCTCGTCGCCAGCGACAAGCCGGACGACGTCGCAACGCTGAAGAAGCTCTTCAACCCATGCACGCCGTTCACATCGGACCTTGATAAGATGGACATCGAGGCCAACATCATGGGCGCGTACCAGGGCTTCTCCCAGGACAACGACTGGGACTCGTATGTCCTCAAGAACGCGTGCGCCGACTTGACGGCCAAGGATGGCTTGAGTCCTCTCGAGAAGGTCGCCAAGATCAACGCGCGCAGCTTCACACCTGAAAGCAACTGCACGAACTCCAACTACGAAGCGGACTGGGTCACGGGTGTCTCGGGCACGGCGCTCGACACGGAAAACATCAACCGCCAGTGGACGTGGCAGACGTGCAACGAGTTTGGCTTTGGCCAGACCGCCGCCAAGAGCACGGGGCCGTTTTCCGAGCTCAAGTTTGTGACCGCCGACGGCGTCTACTACCAGATGTGCAAGGATGTCTTTGGCATCACCGACACGGACGCTCGCATCGCCGCCAAGCGCGCCGACTTCCACGGCCTCGACATCGACGTCGGCAACGTCATCTGGCCCGGCGGCACCATCGACCCGTGGTCGGCGCTCGGCTACCACAACCAGACGCAGCCCAAGAACCCGACTTCGAAGGTCGTCTTCATCGAAGGCACATCGCACTGCGGTGACATGAACGCACCGTCCAAGGCCGACTTGCCGTCGCTTGTGTGGGCCCACCAGCAAATTGACGCGGCGATCGCGGGTTTCGTTGGCAAGTAACGACCAATGTTTTACCGCTAAGATTCGAGCGATAAGAAATTATGCACTCTACATGTACTAGTATCATTTTGACATTGGAATCTTATTGATCGTGTGAATTGTCATATTGTTTGCCATATTCCCACAACTTGCTGATGGTCGTTCACTAAGCCAGAAGCCTTTGCTGTGGGGTTCGATGTCCGGTACACCGCAGTTGTTCTCGAGCAGGTTTCGACACGAATGCGCCGTGCGAGGTATTATCACAACGAACGACAAGTGCGAGCGACACGTCATCGGGTGGAGCAATGTAAGGCCCGAGTGCATAAGCACGCACGTGCGTGCCTATGCGGAGCACACAAGAGCGGCACGCGCCAACAACTCGTGACCTGTATATGTGAATATTGATAGCTAGAGGTCGCGAGTGTAAAGAAGAAGAATGTATCGAAATTTACCTCACCACAAGCAGGGCTCTACATTTGGTAGCACCTGGTTTGTGACGGAAGCGGAAGGAGTGGCAAGACAGGTACGCGTCGGGTGTGCCGGTGTCGTCTCGCAAGGGCTCCTCTCCCCTTTCCCTCAGTATCGATCCACGAGCGCCGGAGGTCTACGGGACCTACAGCTTGTAGACGGTTTATCTCGCATATCGGGAAGAGATCACCGGTTAACGCGGCGCGCGTTTGATCTCCTCCAGGATGGCTGCTGCCGATTTACAGCACCTGCTGACCCAGCTGACCCAGGCCATGAACCAGCAACAACAAGCCATCAATGCGCTGGCAACGGCTCAAGCAGAGCACGCGACGGCCCAAGCCGCGATTACCCAGCAACTCGCCAACGCGGAAGCATCGTGCACGGCGGTGGAGACGGCGGCGGCCCGAGCGGCCATACCGGCACCGATGCGCGTAGAAGGACTGCGCATGCCAGAGTACCGCGGCGAGCTGGACGAGAGCGTAAGCTTGTATATACACCGCGTCAACATGTTCTTCCACGCCAAGAACATTACGCCGACACTTGACGCGGAGACAGAGACGCGGTGCTTGGCGATGATGCACGCCAACTTGCAAGGCAATGCCGCGACGTGGCTTCTCGAACTGGCGTCGACGGGCTCGGTGCCGACGACGCTGCGCGAGTTTGAGCTGGCTCTCCGCGCCGAGTTTGAGCCGCCGGATCTTCAAGAACGGCTCCGCGACCAGCTCTACACCAACACACAGACGTCCTGCGGTGGGCTACTCGCTTACATTAGCATGTACCGCGGGATCGTCAGCCAAGTCACGGACATGTCGGAGCTCGACAGGATCACACACTTTGTGCGCGGGCTCGACGTACGGACACGCGAGGCCGTGCAGTACCGCCGACCGGGCTCCACGACGGCCGCCATTCAAGGCGCGCTCGAGTTTGAACGCGCGCACAGTATCTCGCTCGGACACGACCGGTCGCTGCTACCGCCGGTTCCGCAGGTCGCATTGCCGCCGGTCGTGCCAATGCCGACGGTTCCGCAGCGGGACCCGTACGACATGGAGGTTGATTACGCCAACGCGCGCGGTGGCAACCGGCCGGAGCGCCGCCGGTGTTACAACTGCAACGACACGGGCCACCTTTCGCGCGATTGTCGTGCGCCGCGACGCACAGAAGATGGCCAAGTGGGGCCCAGCGGTGGCCGCGAGGGTCGACGCACACAAGCCTATTTACAAGTTGATCCGGCATTCAGCGACGAGGACGAGGAGATCACGGTGTATAGCCTCAACATGGCCCGTCGGGCCGAGACGGTAGCGGCGCCGGCGAACCGATTAGTCATCAAGCGCGGTACGCTCGACGGCAAGGCAGTGCGCATCCTTATCGACTCGGGTGCGACCGACAACTTGATCCGGCCCGAGTTGGTGACGGCGGAGGTGATCCGCACCAAGCGCGTCAACATGGTCGGCTTTGATGGCTACGCGCGCGAGCCCACGGAGGTCCAGGACTGCAAGGGCACCATCGAGTTTGACGACTCGGCGCTGGGCAGCTTCCCGGCGGTCTTCTCGACGTGGGCCTGGGGCGACAAGGACTTTGACGTGATCTTGGGCAAGCCATGGTTCTACGAATACAACCCAGTCCTCGACTGGCGCACCCATCGGCTTCTCTCGGTGTGCCCGCGGCCCGAGAAGCCGCGGGCTTCGCAGACGCCGGAAGGGATGGCGGCGGTGCACGTGCTCAAGCTCTCGGTGGTGCCGACGTCCGCGCAGAGACCAGCCGTACTAGCACCAGTCGTCGCCGAGGCGGCGGACGTCGGGCCGGCCGAGCTCCCTTCCAGTCGAAAAGTCGAATTGGCGATGAAGAGGCGGCGCGACGGCCGGCAGACCCATGGCCGGGGTCGAGCACGAAGTGGTCGATGAGTTTGTCGAGCGCCCTTTAGCAAACGGCGCGATCCAGCTCTCGATCAGCGAGGAGACGTCCAAGACGTTCGGCGTGCCCAAAAAGGAGGACGACCACAAGATTGCCGCGATGGAGAAGGGGCCCGAGCCCGAGACGACGAAGCTGGTGAAATCCGAGGCGAGGCGGGTCGGGATGCAAGAACACACGGTGGCGTTGAAGAGCATCGAGGGGGCCTTGCCGCAGGCCAGGGTCCTTCATCCGCCCGACCCGCGCTGTCCGTTTGTGGTGCCCACGGAGGTGTCAGGATACTGCTGCGACGCAGTGCTGTCGCCGTTTGCCGCGGTGGGCGACGACCGCGCCGTGGCGTACCTCTCGAAGAAGTTCAGCGTGCAAGAAGGCTGCGGGCCGGCGCAAGAGAAGGAGCGGTTGGTGATCAAGATGGCCTTAAAAACGCGGCGTCATTATTGGTACGGTCAGCGATTCGACGTCTACACGGCGGCGTGCGCACAGGTCTTCGAGGCGCGCGAGGCTTTTGATCGGCCAGCCGGCAGTCGGGCGTGGGCGACAACCAAGCTCGATGGACGCCTCGTTGTGGCGCCGCCCGGGTCACCAGCTCCGACCTCGGTGCCAGTGCCGCATCAAGTCACGGTCAAGCATGCGAAGAAAGTCCAGTGCGGGGCGCTGTCGAAGAGTCCGCAGCTCTGCGCACAGCGCGGGAAGGCGTACAAGACGGACAAGGAGTACCAGGACGAGACCACGCTCAGCCGCTACAAAGGTCTGGTGTGCGTGCGGGTGGTCAACCAGATCGGGCGGGAATGCGCACCGGCGTCCGACGAGCCGCGGGTGTTTGTCGTTGCGCACGCTCATGACGCCCCGGGCGCGGCGCATCCGGGCTCGCGGGGTACGGACTGGCCGTGGTACTACTGGCGCAATTTCAAGGCCGACGCCGAGTTGTACGTGGCCACGCGCGAGACGTGCTGCCGAATCAAGTCCACCACGAAACAAGCCAACGGCACCATGATACCCATCGAGGCGCCAGCCAAGGGCTGGCACACGGTGTCGATCGGCGGCAGTACAGGCTTGCCGGTGTCGGGTGGGTACGACGCCATCGTGACGGTCGTCGACAAGCAGTCGAAGCAGACCAAGTACAGCTTGGAGGCAGGCCAGGCACGCCCGAGGAAGGATTACGACCCCGAGCGGTCGGCCATCACGTTTGCGGTGGGTGAATGGGTCCTGCCTGTGAAGCGGGTCAGCTCGCTCAAGCTGGCCCAACGGGTGGATCGCAAGAAGAAGCCGAAGCGGGTACCACGCTACATGGTGCCGTTCTCGATCAAGGACACGATCAAGGACAACACGGCGCACCTCGACATGCCGGCCAGCAGGAAGGCCTGGCACAACTGGCTCAGCGTCGACCACCTCAAGCAAGACGAAGAGAACCCGGCACGGTTCGCGGCGCGTCAGATCCTCAAGGCATCAGCCGGCACCTTGGACGGGGCGGACGAGCGGCACACCGTCGAAGCGCTGCTCAGAAGATGCCAAGTCAACAAGATGCCCGAGTACGCGGTCAAGTGGCACAGCTTACCAGATCACAAGACCTCGCGGAAGAAGAACGAGAACGTCAAGCCCGTGAGACACTTCCAGCGCCGGATGCACGCGATCAAGGAGCTCAAACAAGCCGCGACGGAAGCTCGCTCTAACGGCGGGAGGATGTAAGGCCCGAGTGCATAAGCACGCACGTGCGTGCCTATGCGGAGCACACAAGAGCGGCACGCGCCAACAACTCGT